CTATAGAGCGTTTAAAATGGCCACGTGACTTTTGCCGTCTCCCAATTAAAGGGGCTATTCGCATGAGCGAAGAAAGGTGAGACTAGGTCGAGGAGTACATCTTTTCTTGGTTAAAAAACTTAAAATTGTTTGTTGGTAGATATTTTTACGAAGATGCACTATGTATAACCTTGTGGCTGTGTCGTCATTGCTCACGTGGTTAGAACTTGCGGAATTTTTCAGATGGTTTTAAAACTGCATTTCTCCTCATTAATGAAGCATATTTTTGTGTGAACTTTTAAAATTTTTTTTGATACAGTTTTTGAAAAGAAGCAGCTATTATTTTTTCCTATAAAACTTTCCAAGCAAAACTTGCAGTCGAAAATATAAAGTTTGATTGATTACTGTTCGAAGACTTTTAAAGTTACATATAGAATGAAACTTGATAGCGAGGTTAAAATATATGCTCTTTCCAATGACGTAAATAGTGTCTCTGTTTCTTTGGCGCTAAATACCTAGAAGAGATGTGATTTTCGCAATCTGACCAGTGTTGAGGAGATTGTTAGTGTTAAGTAGTCAAATTACGTTGTTTCATAGGGGAATTTATGTTAAGTGTCAGGCGTTCGCGCGGCAAAGGACTGGACATCCTGGCAGATGTCATGTGACGTAAGAAAAAACCATGTGCTCGAGAATCGAGCGATAAAAAGTTGTGAAGAGATAATCTTATGTTCAGTTGGCAAAGAATACACGTCGAAAACGTAAAACCGTGTGGATATTCTATTTAACATTTCTGGGGGCCTATCCGGGAGGATTTTTTGACGGAACTGTATGGATTTGCCTGTATTGGTGCTTGTTTGATAACTTCGTGCGAGGACCCTATGTGGACCGCCGCCATCGCANGACGGAACTGTATGGATTTGTCTGTATTGATGTTTGTTTGATCACTTCGTGCGAGGACTTTATGTGGACCGCCACCATCGCATGTTCAATCACATGGCGGATTGCACTGGAAGACTTTTGGCGAGAAGAATGCGACGGATTGTGGTGCGAGAGGGCGTTTGTTACGGGCAGCTGGTGAAAAAGGTAGCGGAACGTAGTTGTGAGGCTAGTGAAAGGTAGAAACGCTGTTTTATTCAGTGGATTTTGTGGGTTTCTGATCGTGTTGTTTACAAGTAAGCTTAAGCTATAGACAAAATGGCGGAGGAAAAACTGATTGTTCTGGATCGTAAGATTTTGACCCTGGATTTGAGTGCCTTATGTGAATTTGCTCCTCATGCAAAAGTTGAAAAGTCGGCAATAGAGGGCAAGGGAAAATTGAGTGTTATTCGGGCCATCAGACACAAAATTGAGGATTCGTTTGAGAATTTAACTGGCGATGACCAAATGGAGTATGTTGACGAATTAATTACTCACTTGGACCCTAAGCCACTCGAGGGAATGGAACATGAGTATGGCCAGGAGGAATTCGAAATCAAAGGTGACATAAAGAAGCTCCAAAAGGAACCGGGTGGTGTAGAATCCAAACAGAAGTTAGTCGCAGAGAAACTGGCCGAGATAAAGCAAGAGAAACCTACTGATGCAGTAAAAGTCGAGGGTACAATTAACTTTCCTGTAAAGGGGGTTGAGCAAAGCATATTCCGCAGGAATTTTAAAATCCTAGGAGTGGTGGGTGAACCTGGGCAGAAAGACAAGCTGGGTTATCAGGCGCTGATCTC